GTACATTTTCCAGAGAATTTATATCCATTCTGTAATAAGGTGACCAAAACTGTGCAGCATAATCTAATTGGGGCCCAAACCCAAGGCTGTATAGATTTGAAGAACAACCTGGGACTCCTATTATTTATGCTTCTTGATAATTGAAGCCAAGGATTCTATTAGCTTTATTGCGAACACTTATGCACTGTTGTCTTGGTTTCAGATTACTGTAACCTGAATCCTAATCTTTTTCGCAATCCGTAATATTAAGATCTACATTATTTAGTTTTATACGTGGCATGGTTGTTGTCCTGTCCAACATTTAGAACTTTGCATTTGTCTATATTAAACTGCATCTGCCACTTCTCCGACCACTGCATCAGTCTATTCAAATCTTCCTGGAGTGCTCGAATGTCCTCGTCAGAATGAATTCGACGGCCTATTTTGGTGTCATCGGCAAACTTGCCGATGTCGCTCTTTATGCCCTCATCTATGTCGTTTATGTAGATTGTGAACAGCAGGGTGAATAATTTTTTGTGTATTAATAATTATACATTTCAGTGGTTTAGTTACGTTGTGAATGTATCTTACCTACCAAATTATGGTCTTAGTGATATATTCTACGGCCTCCCTACAGGACAGTACCTAATATTGGTCAATACCTAGGTACCTTACCGGTTGTGTGAGGTTTAATACACACTGGGAGGCGTACTTTAATTATTAAATGATACATGTGTTAGGCAATGTAGAATCTCCAGCTACAGCTCCCGTTTTTCATTTGTATCCTTATCGTGATGCTTTCACCATAAATCTGGACCCTTACAGATACACGTTATATTCACTTATTTTATGGTCCCCAAATTTTTTGCTAATACTCTTTGTCGGCCCCCGAGACCAAATTTAAAAATATAAGCCAAGGAGAACCAACAACCCCTATAAATTCCTTATTTATGGTAATCATTTAAATATAATGTAATTGTTATATTACAAAAAAATAATAAACGGGTAAAAAAAAAGTCACTGATTATAAATAAATGTATGTGTAAAAGGAAAAACTTTTTAATGCGAGGGCTCAAAAAAAGGCGGAACGCGAATTTTAAAAAGTAAATCACACTACACTACGTTATATAAATATTTTTTTTCCCCCATAAATTTTCTTACAAAAGAATTACAGAAAATTATAAAAATTTTCCACAAAACCTGTTCATGGTTTTTCTTTACTCCAAGCTCTGTATTAGGCCTTTTTTTTGGAATTGTCCCCCATTTTCACAGTGTGCATGTTCAGATTTGATCCACATTTAAAACGCCTGCCCATTTTTTAAATTTAAATGGTATTCAAAGGGGCTTCACTAATCCCCGGGTGATTTATACATGTTCATGGGGTTTTGGGCTCGGTTTCAGGGTGTTCCAGATCCGGGCCCTGGTTTTGCTGCATTTCAGATTCCTTTCTTAGCCTCTATCTACCTCCCTTTAAAAATATGGCGGACCCTTTCCCCCCTATTTCCTCCCCTGATCTTCCCACTTTCGAGCACTTTAAGACTGAAGGAATGCTTTAACTCCCTTCACGTTTCTCGCCTTTCAAACACCCTATCCCCTCTACCATTTTAAATTATTAGGTCCTTTTCCCTTTGCCTCTCGTAGCTTTTTTTTTTTTTTTTTTTTTTTTTTTTTTTTTTTTTTTTTTTTTTTTTTTTTGACAGCCGACACCAACATTAACTAGGCGAGGTGAGTTTTTTGGGTGCGTGCTAGTGTGTGTGTAACAGCGTGATGACTGGCACGAAATTATACACACGTAATTTTTTGTTATTAAACAGAAACCTGCTAACAAAGATCCCTGGACGTACCAATTAGCCAGTCAGTTTCGGCATGGGTAAACCATCAGATGCGGCATTGTAAACCCATCAGATGCAGGATTTTTACTACCTATTTGTACTCACCTATTTGGGTTGCGGGGGGTCGATATATCCGTCCCCGCCTCTTCGCTATTGTACTGGGCCCTCTTTTTCCCTGCCCCATGGCTTTATATACCCGCTTAAAAACTTGTATGGTTCCGCCCACTACTTCATTTTCTGGGCCCATTCCAGGCCCTGATACTTTGACGAAAAAACTTTAACCCCTTTTATTATCTATCTTACTTTCCCAATTGTGACCTCTTGTGTCTGTGTCCCCTTCTGGAACATCCCGTCTTTGCCACCCCTCTATTTCCGCCGTATTTTATAGCGTTACAGTCTCCCCTGACCCTCCGTCCTCAGGGGTCGGCCCATGTGTGAACCATCAGATGAGGCATGTGTGAAACCCTCAGATGCAGGCATGTGTGAAACCCTAGAGCAGGATGTGTGAACCATCAGTGCAGGATGTGTGAAATAGAGGAGACGTGTGTAGATAATGTTCAGACTATCAGTTGAGCATACAACACTGATTGTAAAAAACCACCATTTTTATGCTGCAATTACATGTACAAAAATTTCAGCCCCCGTGTACACACATGTACACTTGTATCAACCACCATTCATACAAAGGCAGTTGTTTACAGTAACTACAGACCGTGATAAACAACACAAACCATTGAAACATTTGAACCAAGCCTTCAACTTGCATTACCGTACATACAAGTGCCGGTATTAAAGTAACTCTGGTATTATCCTGTGTCAGGTCGTAACGATACAACTGTTCTTGTAACTTGATTTCCAAAACTACCAAAGGAGAACAAATGCACAGCAGGGGTCATACCTATCATTTTGAGATTTATAACCGCAGACTGAGAAAACAAAACTAGCAAGTCCCCTTAATTATTTTCACGACGACGACGACGGACTATGATAAAAGCAGTAGCAACAACTAAATTTTGATAAATGTGACATGACTAGCAATCAAAGATAACGATTTATGGAATTTACTTATTACTGGAATTTTACAACAATCATAGAATTATAGCAAAGGTATGAGTAGGTGGATTACATGTGAATGTAAGAGAGCATTCAGTGCGATATTCCGACAAAGACTAATATATGAACTAGAATAACAGGCAGGAATGAAAGGTAAACTGCTCCATTGAGTTGGTAGTATTAGAAGAGTTAAGTGAAATAAGTAATGAAACATCATTATGATCGGTACTAGGAACGCTATTGTTTCTAGTGTATAAAAATGATCTAAACCAAAGGAACTGAGACCTATGTGTTCTTTTTTATTGATGTAAAATTGAGAGATTAAAAAACGAGAGGACAGAGACTCCAAGAATATCTGAGAAACTTCAGAAGTGATGGAACGAGGGGCTGTGTTCAGTCTGGATATATGTAAGGTTATGGAGGATGGGGGTAAACATATCAAAGAAGGTGAACATTAGCCATAAAACATTGGCGGTGTATGTCAGTCTGGTACACCTCAGAACAGAACACCATTCAGTGATCTAAACTAATAATCCTTCACGCTATCATAACTCAACTTGTGTCAAGATCATAATAAAGTACGTGGTCCTAGCCTCCTAGCCTCACCTGGTCAAGTATTTGCAGAACTGAAAAAAAAAAAAAAGTCCAAAATTAGGCAGCCATGCTAATCCCAGAACAAAGAAGAAACAGGCTAATTTGATGACCTTGGAGGAGAGGTCAAGGGGAAGATATAATTACAACATACAAACTACGAATAGGATTATAGAGGGCAAAATGTTACTGTTTGAATGACAACGACAGAAACTAGGAGATGCAGGTGGAAGATGAAGACAGAAGTCATGAATCCTGAGAGAACTTTGTCTCCTATAGTAAAAAAAAAATATTTATATATTTCTTATTATTAACACATCGGATGTTTCCCACCAAGGCAGGGTGGACTGAAAAAGAAAAACTTTCATCATTCACTCCATCACTGTCTTGCCAGAGGTGCACTTACACTACAGTTATAAAACTGCAACATTAACGCCCCTCCTTCAGAGTGCAGACACTGTACTTTGCATCTCCAGGAATCAAGTCCGGCCTGACGGTTTCCCTGAATCCCTTCATAAATGTTACCTTGCTTACACTCCAACAGCACGTAAAGTCCTAAAACCCATTTGTCTCCATTCGCTCCTATTTAACACGCTCACACACGCTTGCTGGAAGTCCACACTCCTCTCACACAAAACCTCCTTTACCCCTCTCACACAAAACCTCCTTTACCCCTCTCACACAAAACCTCCTTTACCCCTCTCACACAAAACCTCCTTTACCCCCTCCCTCCAACCTTTCCTAGGCTGACCTCTACCCTGCCTTCCCTCCACTACAGATTTATACACCCTCGAAGTTATTCTGTTTCGTTCCATTCTCTCTACATGTCCAAACCATCTCAATACCCCCTCTTCAGCCCTCTGGATAATAGTTTTGGTAATCCCACACCTCCTCCTAATAATAGAATGTTCAAAATACGTTAGCTGCAGAGGCAAATCAGCTCCCAGCCACGAAAGTAGGCGTGATAAAGGCCAGAAACCAGTAACGCCCGTCAACATTGCTCTAGAGGTAGGGGGTCAAGATCACAGACTCGACCCCCTGCTAACAAATTGCCAAAACGGAAATGGACATACATACTAGTAAGCATAAGAACTGTCATACTTTTGCTGCAGCTCCTGATTTATTGATTCTTATTTTTTGTTGTTGTATTATGGTGTCGGTAATGTTCAGTTGTGTTTATGACGTCTTGCCACCCTCCCAAATCAGTCTATATTGTACAATAAAATGTTCGATGCAAAATTGCAACGATATTTTAAATTTGTATACGAGGCAGATCATTTTAGTCTTAACCTATTAATAGCTTTTAAAGAAAAGATGTTTTGCATAATTAAAAATTTTCAGTTCACTTTGGGTTTTCAGAGAGAGCTTGTTTAACAGTTGGTACTAATTAAAACTTACTTAGAATTTACATCTGATCAGAACTCCCCCCCCCCCCCAAATGACCATTTAATCTAGGTAGGCTGTATCCTGTTAATGTTTTTTTTTTTTTTGTAACACATTGGTATAATGTATATGTGACGTTAATGGTAACCTACTTCACCCTAGGTTGGAGTCACAAATGGAGGCAGCGCGAGAAATGGAAAACTTACTTAGTGCCTCCTTATCCCAGGAGCAGGAGATCTCCAGGGAACTCCATCGACGTGTCAGAGACTTGCAGGTTGGATATTGTTCTTTTTGTATTGATAGCACACACGCTTTTTAAATTAATATATCATTAGCAGTGTGATTTTAGATGTTCATTGTATGACGAACAATTCTGTTAGTTTACTTTTAAGCCAGCGACGCGATAATATTTATAATATTGTGCGTCTTTCAGAAACTTGAAAAGGAACACCGTGGTCGTCTTGAGAAATTAGAATCTGCAAGTCGTAGAGCTGAAGAAAAGGCATCTGCTCTTTCCAAGGCCAAAGATGATTTGGCAATGCAACTTAACTTTGCAGCATATGGTTTAATCATAGCTGATTATTGGAGACAAATGGTACCACAGTCAGCTGCTGCTCTTGTCCCATATAATGGCAAGATGGTGAAAGTGTTTCCAGGAAAATGCCCCACAAAAGCCCTCACAGTAGGGACTCTCGATAAGGTGGAAAATTGCACTCTGAAGAGCAGTAACAGTGTGTCTGTGTACCCCCGTGATGTGTGTGATGCTTGCATACAAACATCTTTCAAATTCTTAACAGCAAATGCAGGTGTGCAAAATTGCTTGGAGTTCAGAAATGAGTTCATACCTAACGATAATTCTTCCCATGAGCATGGTCAGCGGCGAGCTGCAGAAAAGGATGAAGATGAGCCTGTTAATAAACGACCAAGAAACATATCTACTAAGAGCCAGGCCACAATGACTCTAAAGACAGAGTCAGTCACTGAACGAGAACAGTTCTACCTAGAGCAGATCGAGTTTTTGCAAAGGGAGAAAATCATTCTTAGGAAGGTACAGTATGGCGTATTATGCTATAGTAGAATCACAGGGTATTCAGTAATTTGTGGTAGTTTCTGCTTAAATTAAGTGATCTTTTCAAGACGTTATGAATTTGACATTTAATTAAAAATAATAATTATAATACTGTGTGTATAATAATGTGTGTAGTTTTATTTTAAATATTAATTCTTGTTTTCATTTATAGGGCCAAGATAATGAGAGAAGAGATTCTTTACAGCAACATCATGACTTGGAAGGAGAAATCAATGAAATAAGATACCAGCTTGAAGAAGCTACACGTGACAAATGTACTCTACTGTTTCGCTTAGAGGAAGTCCAGGATGAAAAAGAAGATATCAAACGTAACTTACTTGTAAGAATAGAAGAATTGAAAGGGGACATGTCTCGTTACAACGATCTACACGAGTTGGAAAAGAATACTCTACGTAAGGAACACGAAGCTCAGCTGCAAGAACTGGAAAAGGAGCGCAACCAACAGGAGGAAAGAGTTAGACACTTGGAACTGCAACTTGCAACTTTCAGGCAGGAACTGGAGATAGTTGGGATTTCCATTGCAAACGATCTTGTGCAAATGGATTCTCATGGGGAGAGTGTTCATTCGTGTGGAAGGAAGTCACCCTTGAAGTGTAGTGAAGGTGACAGTGACGTACTGAAGAAGATCAGGGAATTAGTTAAATCAGAAACTGACCTCAGACAAAAAATTTATGATCTTGAGAAAAAGGTAACATAAAAAAAATGATCCTGTTCATTTTATAGTATTGGTTTTGATTTTCTGTAATGTAATTTATGAAAAATAAAACTTGATTTGTGCCTAATGCAGGGCGTTTCAAAGTGATGGACTCGATTTGAATATATATTGCTTTGAAATTGGGTCCATTGTTTTGAAACCATGTATAACATTTAATTTTTTTAGGAGTGTGCATATCGCGAGACAATTCGTGAAGCTGACAAGATCATGTCTAGCCATGTAACATCATACAAGCAGCGTATAGAGGAACTGGAGGCAGCAGCAGATCAACAGACTCTGAAAGTTCAGCAATTAGAAGCTTCAGAAGAACGGTTAAGATCCACTTTAAGAAATAATTCAAGAACTAGTGAGGGCGCTCGCATTTCCGACCTTCTGGACCGCCTCATTGAAATTGAAAATTCAGAACTAAAACTGAAAGAACGGGTGTGGAACCTTGAGAGAAGTGAAAAGGAACTCCAGATAAAAGTAAGATAATTACACCGGAATTAATATTTGGCCAAAAATAACAATAAGAGTAATTTTAAGAGAAAGTATTATTACCATGGGCAGCATGGAAAAATAAACACTTAAAATTTCCCTTATTCCATTAAAATTTACACAAATCACATCCATTAATTTTGGTAATAAAGCATTTTTGTCATTCGTTAATCTAATAATGTTTTATGCATGTTGCTTACAGTTAATGGAAGCTGAGAAAGGTAACCAGGCACTGCGTGCAGAGCTGCGTGACCAGGAGGAAATTGTACATCGTCTAATGTCCTTAGAAACTGAAAATAATGCTTTATCCGTAGAACTAAACCAAGTGAGTACTTTTAGGATGGTATATGCTGAAATCTCCAAACTAATTTTGCAAAATTGGCAAATTAACAGTGAGATGTACTGTACAGTGCTTGTATTTTTTATATAATGTACAGTACCTGTATTTGTTTATATACTGTACAGTACCTGTATTTATATATATACTGTACAGTACCTGTATGTATTTGTTTACTCCAATTGCAGTATGTTGCAGAATTTTGTATTCCTAAAGTTTTGCTGCTGGGAAATAATAGGCATTCTAAACAGGTGTTAATTTTCAGGCCCAGGACTCTGCCCGCAAGGTGTCAGAGATACAGCAAAATGAAAGCTATTTACGTGCTCGTGTGGAGGAACTCGAAGTCACAGAAAACTCATTACGGGAAACCCTTCAGCAGGCTGATGTTATTTTGGCTCAGAGAGAGAGAAAGCTCAGAGACCAGGTTGGTAAAAGCTCTTTAAGGTTAGCAAGTTTATTGAGGCACGGGTACACATAAATACAATTATTATACATAGCTTAAATTACATAGGATAACCCCCCAAAATCAGTGATTTGTTTCCATTGTACAATCTTTTGTTGTTTTCACATTAATCTGTTGAAAATTTACATTTCTTATTTAATGACTATAATTGTCAGGTTGAATCCCTCCAAGAGGAAGTACAGTCATACAAAGACCAGCTAGAAGCCGCAGCCTCAAAGGAATATGGAGCGAAGGAGTCTGAAGTGTCATACAAGAAACAGTTGGAACAGTTGCGTGCCCGCCTGGCTGACACAGAGCGTGAGTTGAAAGAGTCATCCTCTGAGACAATCAACCATGAAACACAACATCGTTCAGAGGTGAGAGTAACATGTTCACTAGCATTTATCTAAGTGGTGATGCTGCAGTTAAGGATGTAAATTGGATGAACACAACACAAGAATAAAGAAACATTGCAGTAGGCCCATGATAGGCAGGTCATCATACACCCACTCATGTACTCTACTCAACATGTATTTTAAGCTACCCAAAGTTCCTGCCTAATTGACTGTAATTTTCAGGTTTTTCCACTCAAAACTCTGTTGCTAAACCAATACTTCCCAATTTTCTTTCTAAATCTAAATTTCTGTTAACATAAGCTTAATAATGATTGCATTAATGAGGACAAAATTAACTCATTATCAGTCAGAATATTACTGTATAATACTTTGTATAAAAAATTATTGTTAAAGTGTTAATCCTCGAGTTATCAAGTAAATTTTTATTATTGTAACAATTCTGATAGCTTTTGTTAACATAGCTGCCAACTTTTTTCCCATTTTTCATTTAATGGGGGGCTTAGTTATCTACATTTATTATCAAGATGGAAAAGTATAGTAGGCAAGAAAATCTACAAAATTTTAATCCATAAACTGATTTAAAATACTACATCACTCTGTATTTCGAGTTACTTCATTACCACATTTAATACATTTTTCACCTATATGTCGTTTTCTTGCTCCTACACACACATACATAACACGCGCACACACAAATGCACTAATATTATTACACTATGCCAAATTTATGTTGGTCTATAACACTGATTCCGAACAATTTCAGGTAACAAAACTTCGTAATCAGTTGAAGCTTTGTAACTCTCAGCTGATGGAACTTGATCGATTAAATTGTGAATTGCGTGATCGAATAATGGCAGCAGAAGCTGAAGGACAGCGTTTAGCCAAAAAGCTAGAAGAAAGTAGCAGACGCCATGAACAAGACTTACTCACTCTCAACCTTCAGGTATTATTACTTTAAACTGCTTTTGTGTGTTAAAGGTTTTTATGTATCTTTACATTCTTTACTCATGCTTCCTTTGTGAAATAAAGCACAGTAAGGTCTCTCTTATGAAGCTATTATTTACAAAGTGAGTTTTTGCAAATGCTATTAAAAAAGTATTCAGTATTGAATAGCACATACTGTGCAGGCCTTTTCAGAACTTGTAAATTTTGGCTACAATTTTTCAATCACATTACAAAGAAAACTGAGAGAGAACCTTCTATAATTACTGCATTATGTAACATCTAGCATTCTCATAACCAAAAGAACATTGCCAGAATATTTTTTACACTTCAGTGTTTCATTGATATTAATCTACACACTAGGCTGATTCATAAGGTGAGGCCTATCCTTCGGTTAGGTTACCTAGATCCTTTCCTAAAAGTCATTTTCATTTTATAGCCTTCTGTCAGTCTCTTATTAACCTACAGTATCCTGTGCTTCATGTAGGTCATTTGCCATATTCAATAAAGTTTTCTGGTCTGTGACTCCATTGTCTACTGTTTTCATACATGCTATATCATCTTCATTCTTTCTTTTGATGTGCATTTCATGTAAGGATAAATCACAATACAAGGGCTGGAACAGTTCACAAATAACCTGCACTTAGACTGTTTTGGTCCATCTTGGACTAGTGATTTTAATATGGGCCAGGATGGACTTGATATATTTTAACTGTAGGTTATTTGGGAAATTGGTTAACACAGCCAAGCTTTATTAACATATACCTCTCCTTTTGCCTCAACAGTGGTATCCTGGATCACTCGTGTTAATTTACCATGAACTCTCTGTATACCTGATGAGTGTTCCAGTAGAGGTTAAATCACCACCACCAGATGTAGACCAAACGAAATGTAAACTTTGCCAGATGGACTATTGTCACACCTTGCGTCATTATGTACTGGAGTGTGATCAAATTAATGAATTTAGAAACAACTCGCTCATAAATGTTCAAGAAATGGCAAAGTATTTTATCCACAGTGGTACATTACAGACCATTCTGGAGAAATACCCTGACTTTGCTAGCTGTAAATAATGCGTTACCATATGTGTTTGGTTCATATGTGTGTGTGGGTGTGTGTGTACTCACCTATTTGTACTCACCTATTTGTGTTTGGGGGGGAGTCTAGTCTGGGTTGGTTGTATGAGGTCTCTCTGTCATGAGTTTTCATCGTTTAACTGTGTTGGTTCCTGTGTTTTCTGGTGTAAATCTATGACTGGAAATTCCTCTATGTCTGGGTTTTGTGTCTTACTTAATGGTGGTCTGTGTTGTTGGTGTCCTCTGGTGTGTTGTACCTGTGTGTTGCGTATTTTATATGTGGGTTTGTCTCCTGACTCCGTCTCAGTGTGTCGGGTTCTTTTCTTCTAGGACGTTTTGGTCGGACTGTGTCGTGTACTCGTCTGTGTGCTTGACGTGTGTGTCGGGGGTTTGGGGTGCCCGGGTTTGTGTGGTGCGGTGTTGTTTGGGGTGGTGTTGTGTGTGTTCGGGATGTGTGAAGTGTGGGTTGGTTTTGTTTTCGTGGTTTGTGTGTGCGGGTGGGGTGTGTTTTCGGCGGTGGTGTGTGGTTTGCGGGTGTGTTTTGGGTGCCGGGTGTTTTGTGTTTTCGGGGGGGGGGGGGGGGGGGGTGGGGTGTGTGTGTGGTGGGGTTTGGGGGTGTGTGTGTGTGTGTGTGTGTGTTGGGGTGGGGGTGTGTGGGTGTTGTTGTGTGTGTGTGTGTTGTGTGTGTGGGGTGTGTGTGCGCGTGTGCGGGGGTGGTGTGCGTTTCTTTTTTTTTTTTGTGTCCCTTTCTTTTTCTCTTCTTTCAACACACAGGCCATATCCCACCGAGGCGGGGTGGCCCAAAAGGAAAAAACGAAAGTTTCTCCTTTTACATTTAGTAATATATACAGGAGAAGGGGTTACTTGCTCCCGGCATTTTAGTCGCCTCTTATGACACGCTTGGCTTATGGAGGACTAGAAAGAAAATAGAAGAAAATAGAAAGAAAATAGAAGAAAACCCAGAGGGGTATGTAAGTGTATATATATGCTTGTACATGTATGTGTAGTGTGACCTAAGTGTAAGTAGAAGTAGCAAAACATACCTGAAATCTTGCATGTTTATGAGACAGAAAAAAGGACACCAGCAATCCTACCATCATGTAAAACAATTACAGGCTTCTGTTTTACACTCGGCAGGATGGTAGTACCTCCCTGGGCGGTTGCTGTCTACCAACCTACTACCTAGGGCGTGCTTGTGTGTATGCATATATTTGTACGCTCGTGTGCATATGTCTGTGCATGCGCTCTCGTGTGTATGTGCGCGCGCTCGCTAGTGTGGGTGTATGACCCACTTAATATTTGTTTTTATATCTCATTACAATTGTGACCAGGTGTGGACGTATCAGTGGTTCATTACTTTGTAATTTGTTCATGACTGTAACCATGTATAGGAGTGAGGCTGATTCATTACCTTTGTAACTTGCCATGATTGTGACCAGATCTACCTGGAGTTCATTACCTTTGTAACTAGTTCAGCTGTCATAACTTTGGGGTCCAGTCCCTGGACCCATTATGTACCTTTGTAATCTTTTGACTACTGCCCACAGGATGGGTATGGGGTGCATAATAAAGATATTAAACTAACTTCCCAGTAGGAAGATTACCTTAGTAATAATTATGTCTACTGAGATATATTGGAGTACAAAACTGGAGGTCTCTTTTAACCATCAGTATCACTGAACTAAATCTAATTATATTTGTTCTCTTTATAGAACTATTGTGGAATACCACACAGGTTACTAGTGTCTACTGTGATTTACATATACTACACATATACAGCAGACCTAAGAAAACCAGTTTTATGTTCTTACATTGTCCTTTCATATCTTAACATTAACTATGTAAAAGCATCTTTCACCTATGAGTAACTGTCTTATTTCCATAATAAACATAATTTCCAGTGACAGTATCTGAACTCATTTACAGGTATCACTTCTCTGTCCAGATAATTTAATTAGGTGCATCCAGTAAGAGACTTTTTTGCAATGCAGCTTTAGATAATGTTTTATCTTGAGCTTACTGTATTTAATAATGTAACTATTTACCTGTTGGACACTGTCACTAGTTTTCTCATAGAGTGGAAAGCTTGTGACTTGTGCAAGATCCCCCTTGTTATCTAATATTTTTTTATGGATACAGTGGACCCCCGGTTAACGATATTTTTTCACTCCAGAAGTATGTTCAGGTGCCAGTACTGACCGAATTTGTTCCCATAAGGAATATTGTGAAGTAGATTAGTCCATTTCAGACCCCCAAACATACACGTACAAACGCACTTACATAAATACACTTACATAATTGGTCGCATTCGGAGGTAATCGTTATGCGGGGGTCCACTGTATTAGTGTTCTGTCAACTTTTCAGGATCATTTGAATGTACATACTTTGAAATGTCTTGTTATGAATCATAACACTATTTTTCCCTGTATTGGTACAGAGTACTGTAATTCTCACCTGATGCATCTTCTACGTTAACATCAGAAGTACCGTATTTTACGGCATATTTGACACACTTTTTTTTTTTTTTTTTTTTTTTTTTTCAAAATCTGACCCTCGTAATCACCCTGCATCTTACACAGTACAAATACAGATATTTATTTCCTTGTAAAACTTAGTGTGTGGTTACAAAGCTGGCCCAGGCACTTCGGTCAGACTAATACTAATTCTTAGGATATTTTGATATAGGTCATATTTGAGCAGTACATTTGAACATAATATTAGGTATGTAATTAGATACATGGTGAAGGTCGGTCTTGGGGTCAATCATGGGACCTATGAACCACCCTAGTTTAATGATCTAGACAACTTTTGAATGAATATATATTTTTTCCCATATTTTTTATTAACATACTGGACATTTCCCACCAAGGCAGGGTGGCCCGAAAAAGAATAACTTTCATCATCATTCATTCCATCTCTGTCTTGCCAGACATGTGCCACTAGCATGTGGTGCATGCAGTTAGAGATGTTGTTATACACCCGCTGCTCAGTTTAATATTATATCATAACTTATGATGAAAGTTTATTTTAGCTATCATCTCGGGATTCCCGTGTGGAAGAGCTTGAGCAGCAGCTGGAGCAGCTGAGCCATGCACACGCTGCTAGTGAGCTGGATGTCTTGGCTGCCTCACCAATCACGGCACTTCATTCCTCCATCACAGCTCTAACTGTAGCTCTTAAGGTCAGTAGTCTGAAGAATACATATTTTTTTTTATTAATCATGCTGATTAAAGTCACACCAATCATTATAAAATGTAGCAGAAGTGGAGCAGAAAATTAACTTCCAGTCAGCTTAAGTTATTGTATGTGCAAATTCAAATTCTTTATTTCGTTTCTGCAGTATACAGATAATGTAACTTACGTGTAATAAAATATTATTACGCGCAAAAGAAGGCCACTAGCATGTGGTTCATTTGTTGAAGAGAATTTTAATGGAAGCTATTAGTATTCTTTTAGTAAGTACACTCTTTTTTCAGATGATTGCAAGATGGATTCATAGAAAATTAATTACACCCAACTCACATTTCTTTAATAATATACTGTACCTCTATACAAACTGTGACATTTAATAAAGTACATAAATAATAATAATATTTATATCTACAAGTACATGTACAAGGTATACAGGCCTGATGTACTGTTTAATTATTTTAATTAAAGTATACATGTATATGGAAAAGATAAGGAAGCTTTTTATGGAACTAGCCATATGGGCAACAATTGGCCACAATTTCAAATTGCAAAAAAAAGCAGTGCAAAAATGGTAGTACAGTACTATTTCAGATGTGGTAGATAGCTGGAATATACTCTGCAGCTGATAGTATGGAACTCAACCACTTGCAACTAAAATATTCATCAGGGAGAAGCGTTGAACCCATAAAGGTCATGAAACTATAAATACTGCTGTAAAGGTCATACCATTGTAACTGTAGCTATAATTACTCTGGCAACTACAGATATTCAAATACATGTGTACCCTTTTAGAATAGGTTTTTATTCTTATTTTCAGAATTGTGAAACGTGTAATGCAAGTCAGAGTGGAACCCTAACAGAGGTAACACATCAGCTGGGTGCACTGGTTGAGCTTGTGGAGGGTCAGCCAAACTCTCCAGTCTTGGAGGAGATTACTTCTGATGTTGATGAGGAATATGTATCAGGTTAGAACCTCAGTACTTGATATAATTGTCCTTTAACAATGTTGTATTTGAACAGTATTTTATTCCTCTTCATCACTGCAGCTACTACCACCTAAACCAGCACCATATGCTCCTCATTTACCACCATCACTACCACCTCCATCACCACATGCTCCTCATCTACCATCATTACCACTACCACCACCTCCATCACTTCTTTCATTGCCATGCACACACAAAAACATAATTATTTAAAATATAAAACTGGGATAAACGTTTAAAATCAATTTCCTGATATACATACTGTACTTTCCTTTGTACACTTGCTTTATTATCTTTGGCAAGCTTAATGCAACTATCAGTCCCTCATTACGATTTCATGAGTCATCAGTCCCTCAGTACATTCTTAGGGAAATAATATACATTCCATTTTTTTTTTTGGGGGGGGGGGTGAGAATGGCAATCCTTATAGTCATATTCTTTTTTACAGAATCGTATGACGCAGACACAGCAGAAAACTTGGCCAACGAAGCCACTACGACCCCCCCTCCTAACCCCGCCGAGGAGGGGCTAAGGGAACAATTGAGCGGGGATGCTGTCAATTGCTTCACTGGAGGGAAATTCCAAAGGGATGCCCGCCGGAGAAGTAGAAGGCGACTGGAGGAGCACAGCAGAAGGCTAGTGCATCCTCAGGGCTCTTCCACAATTTTGGAGGAGCTGGAGGAGAAAGTACGCGAGCTGGAGGAGGCTGTTAGCCGCAAAGAGGAGGAACTCCGCCTGGCTGACACCGAGGCGTGTGAGCTCAACAGTCAGTTACAGTCTCGTGATGTAGCCCTCGCTCAAAAAGTAAGTTATCAATTACATCTTGATGTTGACAAAGTAATTGATTTATTTACCTGTAAAATTACAAGTGTACCTATATGTACTTCTCTCATGATAAATATGAGGAGCAAAATTATAGTATAGTAGACAACAAATAAAATCACTTAACATGCACATTGTGTAATGTTTATAATCAGAATTAATTTATTAAACTGTTCTGTATTTAAAATAGGCTGAGTTTTCTTGGTATAATATGGGTTCTTTTTCAGCAAATTGCTAATATTTGAAAAGTAAATGGAATAGAGTATTTTATAGTATTTTTCTTTCAATACACTGGCCATATCCCACTGAGGCGGGTGGCCTAAAAGGAAAAACAAAAGTTTCATTTTTTACATTTATTAATATATATACAGGAGAATGGGTTACTAGCCCCTTGCTCCCGGCATTTTAGTCGCCTCTTACAACACGCTTGGCTTACGGAGGAAGAATTCTGTTCCACTTCCCCACGGGGGCAAGAGGAAATAAACAAGAACAAGAACTAGTAAGAAAATAGAAGAAAACCCAGAGGGGTGTGTATATATATATGCTTGTACATGTAAGTGTAGTGTGACGTAAGTGTAAGTAGAAGTAGGAAGACGTACCTGAAATCTTGCATGTTTATGAGACAGAAAAAGGACACCAGCAATCCTACCATCATGTAAAACAATTACAGGCTTTCGTTTTACACTCACTTGGCAGGACGGTAGTACATCCCTGAGCGGTTGCTGTCTACCAACCTACTACCTAGATTGTATAGTATTATATACATGTAATGGAAATTAAGAGGTGTGAGGTCTGGGTATTGTATCTAATTTTGTCATATTAATAGGGTGAAGAGGTGGAGCATCTGAATGCCATCTTGGCCAGCCTTCGGCAACAGCTGGTACACACTATGGAGGATGCCGAGCGTACACGGCTCTCCTTGCAGGCCAAACACAAGGTATGACCTGTCATTTTTTTTAATGGATTTGCAATTGTTTAAAAATCTGTGTAAATTATAGTCATCAAATTATTTTCATGCTAATGAACACTATACTTTAATCTTTAATCTAGAAATTTTAATTGCAGTTTTTATTACACACTGCAAACTATGATAGAATTTGTGCATTGTAGGTTGACCTGGAGGAGTTAACAAGACGAGTGGAGCGGCTGACGGAAAAAGCTGAACACTTGGCTTGCCGGGGCCAACTTAAGGACTCTATTATCTCCACACTTGCCTCACAGATACGTGCAATCCTCAGGTATTTGAAGGAAATAATTGAATTGAACAAATTAGGCTTATAGTACTTTGTTTTATACTAATACAGAATCATTCTAAGAATTAGTATATATTATGCACAAAAAAAAACAAATTATTTTTGAAGGGATTTCTAACTTTGAAATTTAATGTGTTTTAGAAAGAGGGTGAGGAAAAACTTTCGGAGAAAATATTGAATTGATTTTTAAACCTGTGTTTGCTTTGCATTTTTTCAGTGTTGAGTTCTCTTCACACTCTAGTTTCCCTCAGGAATGCTATGTGAAGAGTGGCAGTGCAGGTGAGCCTGTAACATAATTTTATGAAATAATCCATGAACCATTATTTGACAGATCGGGCAACATGGGCGTAGTAATCAATCAGCTGCGCCGGCTAGGTGAGGTTGGCCAGAGTGACCAGTCAGCAGGTAACAGCACTACAGATCAAAATCTGCCTACTGCTACCCCACTGCCTGCTGTGCCAGACTTTGATGTTAACACTGTCTGCTCATTCCTCAACCAACCGAATGAGGTAAAACTATATGAGTGTTCAGTTTATTTATTTTTTAATGACTGAAGTGTAACAAAAAGTTGTCTATATTCAGTAATAACCCACATGGAGACAAACTCAGGAGATTGATTGACCTGTATATTTCAACTCCCTTCTGTCTATATATTTTTTATTCTAATCATTGGGAAGCACTAAGCCTATAGAAGTTATCAAGGGAATGGAAAGTGATCAGGTATGATCCGAGGAAAGAGGGATAGCTTCTGTTCCTTGGATCAAGTGCCCCTCACTTTCATCAAGGCTCTTTTACCCTTTTTAAGAGTCGATTGAATTATATTTATTTTCATGTTAGGTAGTTGGAACATTGGAGTTTGTTAATGAAACTCATCATTGAAAATATCCTCCATGATTTTATTGCTTTTTAAAGACAATCATTCTTGTTCAATTTAAAGACAGTCATCCTTATTCAACTCACTTGTACGTCCTTCACAACCATTGTGTTAATTCATAACCTCTGTATTATATAAATTTCATGAACGTTTAGTATTCATTAGGAAGTTAAATATTTATATTAATGTAAAGTTCAAATAATTTTTGCTAATTTCTGCTGTACTTTTTACTACTAATTGAACATCTATATTACTTATATTACAAGACTGGTTACAGCTATATTTAAATACCTTGTAGAATCTTAACTTTTAGCAATAACATGGGAGAGGTAAACTAAGTTATATACTATTCTTATGGTCAAAATCATAATTACTGTAAACTTGGAGTCAGTTTCATGCAAGTGAGATAGGCCTACTAATATACGTGTACTGCTAATTTTAATGAGGGGGTTGCCATGATAGACAAAATTAATCAGTTTTCTAATGAAAGATCCAGCTTGCAGGTAATGGTTATTTTGTCAGGAACATTTTGGTGGCTAATTAACCTGGTACAGGGAAAGCATTAAATTTTTAACACCTGTCAGACACTAAATTATGCATGGTTCTTAACTGAGGAATGTTTCAATACATTAGTGCTTGTGATAAAATGCACACAGAAATGTTCACAAAATCTTTTCTAGTCAATAGGCATATTTAAGATAACCTCGGTACAATGGCCTAATAGTGGGAAGAGGGTTCCCTTATAATGAAGCACCTTTACCTGCCCATGAATTTGATCTCTTATGTCTGAAATCAGTTATATAGGGGTTTGTTATACCGAGGTTTTACTTCATATTTATTTAAAAGTACTGTTGGTTATAGAAAAGGCTTCATAGGGATGTATAATAAATAAGCTTACAAGTGGTGACAGAAATTTATTTATAATGTTAGGTTAGTTTACAGTTGCTTCCTCATAAGACAGGCTAGTCATTATTGGCGAGTCAGAATTTAGAAAGTCCATCACGATAAAATGCCCTTTATTTTCAGGACATCAGTATCTAAAAAAAAAATGCATTTAAAAACGAATTTGGTGATAACCTGAGCTGGGATAGTGCCACTTCTGTTGGAAGGTTAATTTTATTTTGATACAGAAGGTGGACAACTCCAGATGTGTCTTAGCAGATCAAGCAGTTGCATTTTTTCAGTATTTTACTGTGGGGTTCTTTATTTATGCAAGATTTGGCTCTTAATTATTTTAATGCACTTCAGTGTATCAGTTTTATATAAATATTCTTTAAGTAACTGCAATGCAGGCTGCTTGATTGTGGTATAGACATTTGAAGAGTCACCTTTCGTAGTGTGTGGAGAGTTAAATAGTAGAATAAATAACAATAACATAATTTTGATATGTCTTGAATTTGGTGTCATTTGCAAATATATATTTCATAGAGTAATGGCAAGAGCAGTTCTATCAAGTATTCTTAGACATAGGAAATTACAAAGTACTGTATAATTCTATATTGTGTATAATGAGCAAATTGTTAAAATCAGAGCATGAATCCAGAAAAATTGTCAATAGCAAAATTCATCAGTGTGGGCATGACCTGACATTGCCAGTAGTGTGTGCCCGCGTTACTTGAGGAGTCTGTCCTAACCATCTTCCACTGACTGTCACTCTAGTACAAAGTTTAATATTCCTAACTTGCTTTCAGAATATTCAAATAAATTGCCAAGTATGGAGAGACAGTAGACCAATTTTTCAGTTGTCTGCTTGTCTTTGTACTATGGTATTTATTTATCTCCTGACTGCATACTGAAAATATGTACTATTCTAGATATTTTGATATCTTGGTGTTGGGTTTTGGTATTTTTACTGAACATAGTGAGAAATTAAGCAACTAACAATATTAGAGCTGCACTTTCACAAGATGCTTATATTAGATTCAGTGGCTTATGAAATGGTCTTCTTATGCATGGAACCTGCTCATTTCTGCAATGATTTATTTATTATAGCAGTATGGTACACAGTGTCTAACATATCATTATTTTGTAAACATTACTTTTGCAGTACTCTGAAATTGAAATTACTGTATTATCATTATGAATTTCTATTGTTCAGTGGACCTAGTCTGCCTGTATATCACTCGAGTAAAGTTGTCAAATAATCATAGTTTACTGTTATATCACTACCACAATATAGTCTGTTTTTTCTTGTTAAAATTCTAGTGCATAATTTCCACAATCCTTGTGCCTTTTTTTCATGGCTTAAGCATCTTTCAATTATTCTTCTAAGACTGATGCACTAAACATAGCTTTTCAGACATTTACATTGTTCTCTCTTCTTACCCTCCAGATGGCTTCCATGTCTCAATCTGCTATCTTGAATGGGATGAAGCCATCTAGTCCCGTGACCCACAAGTCTGACCTCTCACTAGCTCCTTCTCATAATGGGTTGGGGTCTTCTAGTCACGTGACCTTCCAAGGCTCTCCTTCACTGGCTCAGAGAAGAAAGTCCCGCATACCACGATATTTGCCCTCTTCTGTGCACAGTGTAAAGCCTGCACCTAAACCCATGCCCGAGGTCAAACCTGTGCCAGCGCACGTACAAACTTTAAAACTGCCAGTTGTTTGTGTGCAAGTGGCCAAGCCAGTGCCACAAACTGAGCCACTGGGAAAGACCATATCAAAATCTGAATTATTAGTAGAGCCTGTATCAGTGCCATGGCAAACAGCTAAGTCTGCACCGGTGCCTTTTCAGGAAGTAAAATCCACTCCACTAAATGCTACATGTGCAATCAAGCCCGTGGCGACCTCTACTCCAGCAAAACCCATGGGCAGAAAGGTTGACCATTTCTTGCTGTTCCCTCTTAATTCCTGAACACTGTAATAATGCTCTTGCTTATTGATGTCTTTTAAATGCAACTTATTTTCTGATGTGTGTTTTAGTTTTCTGTACGAGTGTCTGCATATTTTATACAGTATACAAATATTTAAAGAGGCTTTGAGTTTTAGGAGCTTGAGCTCCCAGCAAGCTTGTGTGAGCATATTAGATAGAAGCAAAGGAAGACAAGTGTTTTTTAATGATGAGGGTGGAGGAGTGTGAGCAAAGTTACTTTTATGAAGGGATTCAGGGGAAACCAGTTAGCCGGACTCGAGTCCTAGAGGTTGGAAGGGCAGCACCTGCACTTGGAAGGAAGGGTGGGGATGTCAGATTGTGATATCAGCATTCATCTAGAATGAATGATGGTGAATGTGTTTTCTTTGGGTCACCCTGCTTTTGCAGATGGCTGTTGAGGTAAAATATATACATTTACATATAGTACTGCTTAATTTCAAGAAAAGTCTTTAATAATAGTATAAGAATGGTTTTTTTTTTAAGTTTCTTGTAGGATGTCATAACCTGAATAAAGTTGTAACACTTGCCAAGTTTGCCATTGCTTTTTTCAATATCTTTTTTAAATATATTATGATGATTTGTATAAAGGATGTTAAAACTAGGAATCAGTAGCAATTTTATTGATGTAATAGTAAGAATTTTATAGAAATGTCTTCTTAGATATTAGTTTTACATTTATACAAAAATTGTTCCAAAGTAATCAGTGGTGATGCTTTCATTTTGGTGTAAAACTCGTATATATTTTAGGACTCGACCAGAAGAGACCGACCAGCAAGATTCCTCTCGGATGCTCGCAAGATCAAGCGCATTGGGGGATTTTTAAATAGAAC